AAATATGAAATCAATCTTATGGATCTTTGGGTACTTTTAACCGGAAGATTGGGACTTTTTATTGCAGGGATTATGTAACACTTGGTATTAACTCAGAGACAAAAGAAAGAGAGTCAAGTTTAGAAAAGTTTAAAGATTTATTACTAAACAAATTAAACTAGACTAACTTAAACACTAAATGTATGGTGTAACTAAGGTGAATGAGACGGAAAATGATGTAGTGTGGAATGTTGTTCAGAACCAGCAAATCCGGAGAAACGATTAGTTCTGATGGGAGTGAAGGTGATGTCTTCGCACTAAGCTTTGATTCGGAGATTCATAAACACATAAGATGCCATTTTGTCGCTCCACACATACCCTTAGAATGAGACCTCCGTACAGATCCAGAATGCCAGGTCCTCAAACCCCTCTTCGGTACCGGAGCCGATGAAACAGCGTCAGCAGTATGACAGACTAGTCTTTGGATTGTCTCCAGGTAAAAAGCAACAGTTGGTTGACAGTGTCAGATGGACCCGGAGGGTCAAGGAGTTCAGCTTTTATTCTGAAAGGAACCGTTGATTGGTTGATAAAATGCAACAGATTTTATCCAGCTTGTCGTTGGTTCTTTCGGCTGAAGAGGAAAGTTATGGATTGGCCACTCCGACAACTTCTCTAGAACGCTTTGAACTGGCGTTAAAGATGACGTGGGCATAGTTTTATAATTTGGATGTTTTGATTTACGGTCGAATGAAAAGATGACAGATTTACCAAGCACCACCAAAACCACGCCTCCGTCAGATCTGGCAGATCCTGACTGGATCAGTAAAAGCAATGTGTGATGTGGCTTAACCTTACGTGTGATCAGTCTCTAGTGGAAACATTTAAAGTTATATTACTTATTATATTCTGTAAGATTATAATATCAAGTAATTAATATTTCATTTCACAAATTGGTGCACGTTTTATTATTGACTAACACTTTGTTTGATTAGCTTATTAAAAATAGAGTTCTTTAGAAAGAGTCCTTTGTCTTCATTCTTCTCTTGGGCTGGAAAGGAAAACAGTTTAGAAGCAAATGCATGAGACCTTGAACAATATCTCATGCAGATTAGCTCTTGCTGGGGGGGGGGGGGTGACTTTTAGGTGGAAAACAGTCATTTCATTCTGTTACACTTGTCATATCAAACATTACTGATCGTCATATATAAATCTTACAATGTAATAATAACATTAATTTCAAACTTCAGTAATTCAAGCACAGATTAATTAACCTTATTAATTTAAGCACAGATTAATCAACCTTATTAATTTAAGCACAGATTAATCAACCTTATTAAGCACAGATTAATCAACCTTATTAATTTAAGCACAGATTAATCAAGACATTATTATTATTCATCAACCATCATTGTTCATTTCATTTCACGATTGATTAACTCATATGAGCTGAAAATAGTCACTTTATTCAGAGAGTGAGCAATCCTGTGGTGTTATCAAAAGAAGGCTTTGTTTGGGAACACAGACTGACATCTTGTTCCCCCTGAAATGTCAACAAGGCTGCAGTATCCTTCTGGGTTTGTTGGAAGCTAGGATGTAAAATCCACTTTAGAGAATGGAATTTATGTCTGCAGATGACCGGTGGCATGTAGGTCAATCTGTAGGTGAAAACTGACCATTGCTGGACGTTACACATTAATACTTCTAAATTCAGCAGATTGTGTATAGAATGAAACTTATTTGTAGGAGCCATATGTGTCGTTTCTTTTTGCGCACTTGAGAGGAGGCTTTGCCTCATGTTATTGGTTAATTGCTTGTGAAAGCACCAGCCTACTTAAGCCAACACAGATTGGACTCAGGTGTTGCTGGATGGGACAAACAGTTTTTTACTGTGTGGCGAGGACTGTGGCTGTGTGTAACGGACTCTGCGGACTGTCATTGGGGCAAGTAACACATTCACTGAAAACCACTTTAACTGCTGTAAATGGATCATGGACATTTTGGAACAAGACGAAATAATAAACATCATCGGAAATAAACACAAGCTGCAATTCTTTTAAACACACGTAAAGACCACCACCCGCAACAGCAACCAGTAGTGCCAGTGTATAGGGCATTGGCGCTACATTTCATTATTAAAGCTAAATTTACATTTCTTCTGGCCCTCGGAGAGTACAGACACTTTTTTCCTCCTCTCCTCCCTATCTTATCCAAGGCTCTTTGTCTGTCTTTGGGTGTACGGCGCTTCTGCATTTTTTCTGGAAACTGGAAATTATTAAAAATGGATCTGGTCAGTTGGGCTCTCAACGCAACTGATACATTTTTCTCAATGATGAGAACGGGAGAAGGGGCTCCCGGGTGCCCCTCTGGGACAGACTTTGGCTGAGATTCAGGCTCTGGCACAAAAGATGGATGCCATCAAGGAGCGAGTGGACGAATTAGCACGGATTGGGATGGATTAATTTACACCATTATTGGATATTGAGAGGTTGAGGATCAACGGAACTTTAAGACAGAGAGGAAATTATCTCTGTCTGGCCCCAAAACAATTTCTTATCTGAATATGGTGCCCTTGAGCCTGTGAGGCTGAAACGAATACCCCCCCCCCCCCCCCGCGAGGAAATGTCGATGCTGCCGTCGCCATGGCAACTCTCTCTCCCTGTCCTAGCCTGGGCGGGACTGCGGGCTGTAAAGGCCGCTGAATTGTTCCAGGAGTCACTGTGCTTTCCAAACCCAACGACCTCCCTCCCCTGTCCAGACAGAGGTGACGAGCGCTGCTTATCGTGGCTGCATGCACTGACGTGTGGAGAGTCCCAAACCCTACCACCCCACCTAGTGGACACTTATGTTTAGGGATGGGTACCGAATTCGGTACTTTTTAAGGTACCGACCGAATTCCATAGTACCGACCGAGCACCGATTCACGTCGTTTCAAACGGTGCCTCGTTTCGGTACCCGTCCTTCATAACGAGAACTTGCCAGGACAGCTGCGCATGCGCAAGAGCGTTATGTCGTCGGTTCCTGCGAGCGTGTTGTAAACAGAGCAGCATGGTAGAAAGAACGCACGCTAACGCTTGGGTCCACTTCACTAAATGTGATGGGTAACTGGGTGATGATGAAACCAGCGACAGACAACGATCTAAGTGAGACATCCTCATCTTAATCTGTTCCGGTAGGTAAATAAAATGTTTAAGATAACGTTACCTTGATATGTTAGCTTCCGTTTCGCTAATGGTGCGTTCGCTTTCTCCTCGGAACTCCGAATTTCCGACTAGAACATGAACGCGCTCTAAAGTTTGGCTTCACTTTACTAAATGCAACGGGTGATTGTGTGAAGATGAAACCAGCGACAACGATCTAAATGTGAGGCATCATCTTTTTAATCTGCTCCAGCAGTTAAATAAACTGTTAAGGATAACGTTAGCTTGACATGTTAGCTTCCATTGCCACCGTTGTTATCAGCTAATGGTGCGTTCGCTTTCTCCTCGGAAATTCTAACTTCCCAGTTGGAAAAATCAAATGAAAGAAGACGGCAAAAGGAATGAAGATACACAGTAAATTTAGTTCACAGTAAAGATGTTTGCTTCAGCTTATAAAACTACAAGGACGATGTTAATACAAACAGTTGAATGTTATTTATCGTGATTATCAAATATGGTTATGTATTGAGAAAAATATATATTTAATTATAAAAGAGAATTAAAATAATAAACACTCAAAAGTATCGAAAATTGGTACCGTTAAATACCGGTATCGATTCGTAGGTACCGGGAATTAGTACCGGATCGATTCAAATGTCAAAGGTACCCATCCCTACTTATGTTGTATAATGTCTGAAGTCTGTTGCATTTCTGTCTGAGGGGTTTTTTGCATAGCAAAGCTGCCCTCCCTGTGGAGGGTAGCTGAAGGGCCTTTTTTTCCTCCACCTGACTCAATCCTCATATAAACCCCTCTGATCTCTATTAAGGTAGCGCAACTCGGGTTGCGAATGACCAGTCACCAATTCTGGTCATGTGTCTATGCCTGTGCATGTATGTCTGATCTCAGAATTGTGTGTACTGAAACTCTAATTTCTGTCTGGGATTAATAAAGTATCTTTGAATTGAATTGAATTCAATTATGTTCACAAGCCACACATTTACACTTCTGAGATGATTACAGTCACTATCACATGACTAAACAAATACACATCACCCCCCTCACAATCTGAAGCAGATAAACAAATGAAAACAATTTGGAAAAAGTATAGGTTGTTAATATCGGCCCAGTTTTATTAATCGGACCGATACAGATATGTTAAAAATTGACTAACATCGGCCGATAACGATATTAATGCTGATATATTTACATATATACAGAGTTCTGAATAGTCTTGATCAATCGTTTTTGATGATGGTTTTTCTTTAGACTTTGTTTTTTTTTTCCCACTCATTTTCAGTAGAGATGCTAACCTTGAGGTTTGGCGTTTTCTAAACGCAGGAGAATCCGTGTAGACTCCACACGGGGCTGGGCTACACATAGAGATCTGGCTGCTGCCAGATTAGAGATGCACTGATTCTGATTTTAAGCGCAGATACTGACTATTTACTTTTTTTTCCTGAATAACCTAAACATTATGGTTCTAGAAAAAAAGAAAGACAAATCTTAATTTTGAGCCACAGCGAGCTCAGTCGTGCTGAACATTGACCAATCTTGATCACCATTCTATTTTCCGTCTAGTGCATTATCGTTTTTAGTTTTATTAAATCATTTATATCCGATTTATAAATCCTCCAGACATAAAATAGTTCCTAATCCCAAAGAAATTAACCAGTTTTGTGTCGATACAAAGCAAAAAGTTGATTTAAAATTAGATTATTATGACCTAGAGTCAAAACTCAGATGAAAATCTTTAGAATATCTTCAGAAAATTTAAATAATGACTTACAAAAAGTCTGCTTTGATGAAGTACAATATAAAGACATGATTTTGCACGACTAACTTTCCTTTTATTTCTTACTTTTGGCGTCTGGTTCCTCTTGCAGGAGCCTCAAACATCCCAACATTCTTCAGTGTTTGGGTCAGTGCAGCGAGACCATCCCGTTTCTACTCGTCATGGAGTTTTGCCAACTGGTGAGTGCAAATGTTGACACGTAGGAAAGCTAATCTGGACAAAAATAAAGAATTAATGGTGTTTTAGGCATAATAGCTCCATCTTATAACAACACTATACTGGGGAAACTGGTTTCAATGATTGGCTGTGTTTGTTCCCAGCTGGGACTGGTTAGAAAACCCACATCACCCCACTTCTCCTCCAGCTTCACTTGCTGCCAGTCAACTTCAGGGTTCATTTCAAGATCCTGGTTCTGGTCTATAGGGCCTTACATGGACAAGCACCATCTTACATTGGTGATCTTCTTAGTCCCTACACCCCCAGCAGGTCCCTGAGGTCCAGTGATCAAAGCCTACTGGTTGTGCAGCACCAGGCTAAAGGTCAAAGATGACTGATCATCTGCTGCTGTGGCCCCCAGACTCTGGACCTCTCTCCCCCTGAGCCTGAGATCAGTGGACTCAGTGGTCTCCTTTAAAAAGCAGCTGAAGACTCACTTGTTCAAGCTGGCTTTTGTATGACCTTCTTCACCACTCTCTCTTTATTCTGCTCTCCCCACCTATTCCACCTTCCTCAGGATCCACTGATTTCCCTCTTTCCTGTTCACTCTCTCTCTTTCTTAACATTTTTTTAATCACAATTGCCTATTTTTGCTCATTTTAAATATATTTTTAAACATTTTCTAAATGCTTTTTTATATTTTTACAGTTTTTGTGAAGCGCCTCGTGATTTTTATCTTGAGAGGCGCTATAGAAATGATACTTTCTTCTTCTTCTTCTTCTTCAGATGAGTTCTAACAAAGATACATCACAACAATGTAGTGAAAGAAGTCAAACGTTGAAAATATCCTGTTGTTTTCTCCCTGTCACAACCATCGACATTAATATATGGACAATGGGTTTCCATAGGCTCCAATATCACTTTTTTGAGGCCAAATGGGAGGTGGCCACCACCGTCATTTTGACCGTGTCACAGGTTCCGTCAAGCCCAGACAATTCCCTAAAAGGGAAGAGAGGAGGAGCTGAGGGTGGGGCTGTAAGGCTGGGATCAACTGACGACACCCGGTCGAACTAGCTACAAGCTAACCTGAAGCTAACCCTGGCTAACCCAAAGCTAACGCAGAGGTGGGAGCTAAGCTAACGAAGGTAGCAGCCTAGCTACAACCGGAGTTAACTGTGCACAACACCAGAGCTTCTGAGTCAGAGATGCGCCGGGCTGACCGCTGGGTAAAACCGGGTGGAACACAGAGGTCTCCCGAGACCTCCACAAGCTGGCAGCTGCACAGCAGACAAGCGCCGCTGTGGTCTGAGATGCGCAGAGCTGCCGCTGGGGAGAACCGGGTGGAAAGGTTTCCATCCAAGAGCTCCACAAGCCAGTGTTCTGAGAAAACATCCTACTTTGGCAAAACGTCCTACCCGTAGGCTAATTTTACGGTGTTTTACATGACACAAACCCTAACCCTAACCATAACCCTAACCCAAAAAAATCAAGTATCAACGTCAATAAAAAGTACTAATACTTACTACTTATCTACTTTTCTGCAAATATGACAACGGAGTAGCATTTCCCTTTTGTGTTGTGCGCATGCACGCACATGCTCAGGAACAACGGGTAGGACGGTTTACGGGGTAGGAGAAATTCCCAGAACACCGGCATTCCGCGCAGCAAACAGAAGCCGCGAAGCCAGGGGAGAAACGGGTGGAGAGCTCCACAAGCCGATAGTGGGAACCCAGCTCCACCAACATGTTATATTTCAACCCATTTTCTAAAGTGCAGCATTATGTTAAATGCACTGGGTTTTACCCTATTACATTTAAATTTCATGGTTAAACAGTACATGTTAAAATCTAAGCTCAGCTCAGCAGTGACCTAAAATACATAAATATAATTTTACTTACCGAAAAAAATGAAGTGGAGACTCCTTGGACGCTCTATTAGTGCAATTAATGCCACAGCAAGTCATTTTGTCCAACAATTAAACTAAAAATATCCAAACAAGAACACACAAACACAGAGACTCTAAATCCCGGAGCAGTGTCCAGGCCAGACCGAGGCTCTACTGAGGCCTCTCCACGGAGCTAGCTCTGTGGTCACGTGGGTCTGATGCTCGTTAATTATACAGAATTTTAGGCTTTTAATACACTTAAACAGAAGAGTGATAAAAAAATTCACCCCCCTCAGAGTTGTCATGAGAGTAAACTAGATCATTTGAACCTAAAACATGCTTTGGTACCAGGCTGTAAACATGTTTATTTCTGCTGTGAAATTGGTATTTTTAACATGGGAGTCAATGAGGATTTGCTCGCTTCTGACACCAGCCCCCAGTGGACGAGGGTGGAACTGCAATTTTTGGTACTTCCGGGTTTGACTCAATTTTAGAGCTCCATTGTGGGGGCTTGGTCGCAATGCAGACGAATTATAAAAGGCTATTTACCAATTCTCCAGCCGTTGTTGTTGCTCTTTGATGGAAAACAGCCCAAAAAAAAAAAGATGTTGTTAATGCAGAAGTCATAAATATCCAATTCTCTATGTTGCAGGTTTAAAAGAAAACAAACGTTTCTGTGATCAAACCAAAGATTGACTCATTGTTTAATTTTAACATCAAATTTATTAAAAGCATCTTTGTTGTGATGCACAACTTAGGGGGACTTGAAGAGATATCTGCGAGCTCAACGCAAGTCCGATGGGATGACTCCAGACCTGCCGACCAGGGACCTCCTGACTCTTCAGAGAATGGCCTTTGAGATCACTTCAGGTCTGCTGCATCTTCATGAAAACAGCTACATCCACAGGTGAGTCAGGAGCTCGGCCTCCCATCATTTACAAAGCAAACAGCAGAAAGGATGTTTGATTTTATTTTGTATTCTCTCTTTAGTGATCTGGCTTTAAGGAACTGCCTTCTGACCTCGGACCTCACAGTCAGGATCGGTGATTATGGTCTCTCACACAATCACTATAAGGTACGCTTGACCTGGATTTCACCTGAGACCCAAACAGGAATTCAGTTCATTGCATTGTGTTGAATCTTTCTACAGGAGGACTATTACCTGACTCCTGACAAACTGTGGATCCCACTGAGATGGATCGCTCCTGAGCTGCTGGAGGAGTACCGAGGATCTCTCATCGTCACGGACCAAACCAAGACCAGCAACGTGTGGTAGGCTCTAAAGCTGCAGCGTGCTTCTGATTAAAAAGTCTTTGTGTTGTGTTTTCCTGTCATTTAGCATCGTAGACAAACTCATTGAAACCAGCGCAGTAGTAGATGCTGAGAACGTCGAGCTTGCATAAACTGTGTGTTGTGTGGTCAGGCTGTTAAATGCATATCTGTGTTGTTTTTCTTGTCCTATCGATAGCATGCATGGCCCCCTCACACTTTTAACCTAACCTTATAACCCAATTAAATCTATAAGCTAATGCTAATGCACCTGGATTTTGCCTGCGCACGTTGGTGTTAACTTCCCTCAGAGGGGATCCAGATCTCAGCCTTGCAGGAGATAAGGATGTGTGTCTGGGGCTCGAAACAGTTTCCTTAAAGCTGTGGTATCTGGTTTAACATGTGTGGCAAGGTGGAGAAACAAGGGCCTTTTGTGCAGGCTGAGGCAGGAGGTGTGGAGTGTGGTGGTGCTGGGTTCTCACGTTGGTATGAATGCTCACTGCCGGGGGTGACTTCTTTATATTTTCTCTTATTTTTTACTGGTTGGGGCTTCTCTGCCCCGAGTCACCTGCCTCCATCGCTAGCCTCAGTCCTGCTGGTAAATACACCTTTGTGTGGTTAAAGGTCCAACTAATTAAAAGTTATTGTTTAGACCCTATTGTTTAACCTTTTTGTTTATTTAAATTTGTAGTTAAACTGTATTTTGTTAATCCTCATTTGGACTTCATGAATTAATTTAAGTGAGTTAAATTAATTTCCTTATTTTTAGTTATTCACTTCATTGGTGTATTTTCTTTTGGGGGCTTTAATCTTAGTATTTTATGGTATTTTACATGGCCAGTTTTTAAAAACTTCTTTTAAACTGTTTCTTCAATCAAATAAAATCAATGAATTGTAACTTCTGAAACCACATCTGCTGTCAAGTGGAACGAATCTACGTGCTTTAATTAATTCCTTGGGCGAAATTCCCAAGGTGGCGTTGTTAACAAAATTGCACTCGAGCAGGAACAATTGCCATACTTGGCGTCAACAGGTCATAGACCACTCTTATATTGCCACGCATGTTTAAAAACATCTGACCCTGTTGTAGGTAATCTTTCATAATGTATGTTTCCTATAAGCTCCCGGCCTCTACAGCAAAATGAATCATTTCCACGAGCCTAGAGCGTTGACCAATTGAGTCGTGTGTTCACAAGAGGGAGCTGTCAGTCAATGGGAATTTGCCTAGTTCCCAGCATGCACTAGGGGGAGATCAGCACACCCCTAGCTTGAATGGTAACGGGACTTGCATTGAATTAATGTAAACTTTAAGCTAACTGTGGAAGAAGAGGGAGGGGAATGAAAATGTGTTTTTCTTTTGTGTGTTTGAGCTAAGTGATTAGCATAGCTACATCAGGCTATTGTTTGAGCCTGTAGCAGCATTAGCAGAGGTGTGCTAGCATCATAAATGCCGGTTTCCTGCAGATTTTAGAAGTTTCCCTGCTTAAACTCTGCAGATTTGATCAAATGAATGTTTTGCAGCTCCTGCAGGACCTTATTACGGCTGAGGAGATAATTCAGCAGTTAGAATCAGGTGTGTCTGAGCAGGAACACAAAACGTTAGATTTCCGTTAGCGCTAAAGTCATTTTTGTGTGTGTGTGGGTGGTATGAGGCGTGGCTTTCAGCTTCTTCCTGAAGGGGAGGAGAAACAGGAGTGTTCAAATGTCAAAATCTCCTCCTCTCTTCCATGACGTCACTCTATGGCTCCCCGCTTTAAAACAGCACGTCCCAAGTTACCGTACCGTAAAACCACCTTTGCCTGGACTTCTCGTCAGTGAAAGGTGCAGGGCTTTGGAATATGCTTCTCGTCAGTTTGAAATGTCTCACCAGTTTTTACTCTTTTTAAAAAGCGAACCAAATCCTGGCTGTCCCAGCAGCAGCAGCAGTGCACACACGTTTCATAGATTTAACCGTTATTTGCTTTTTCCCTTTGTTATAATTTGTCTGTGTCTTAGCTGATTATTGTTAATTTTTATGTGATTTTATTGTGCATGTTTGTTTTCTTTCTTCTCTTTAATTTATGATTGTAAAAGTCCATCTGCTGCAAATAAGCCATAACTAGCGTTTTACCACAAACATGGACCCTACATCTGTCCCTACTGAAATAAACCACACGAAGTGCGGCCCAGGGCCTGATTTAGTCCATAATTTTAGCTGTGGACATAACTTAATTCCCTTGTAGTTTGTGAAAAATTAATTCTGAACAAGGGGTGTGATCTTTTTGTTTTGGTGATAATCCTGTGTAGCTTTACTTCAGATTCACCCATTTTTATCAGCCTTGGTCCATCTATTTTAAGCGTAAAATAAAAAATACACACCACCTGAGTCATAAAGCAGCCGCAGCTGACTCAAGCTGACACCAAAGTAAATTTAACGTTTTCCTTGAAAGCGTTTCCAGATTGAAAAGCTCTGAAGGTCAGATGACGGCGAATCAAACATTTTAAGGATGGAGCTGCAGAAAAGAATCGGAAATGTCATTTGTATTCTTCTTGCCTTTTTTATTTAGAATATGTTTTAAAAATTAGAAACATTTAACACAAATGCCACAGATTTGTGTGATCTTGCTGGTTTGAAGGAACATGCTGGACTTCACATGAAGACAAGGGGACTTCTGAAGAGATTAAAATGAAAGCAAGCAGGAAAAAACCCAAAGGCTTCGTCTTTGATGAGCTCAGAAAACACTCAGAGGATTTATTTAAGATACTTGATGTTTTCTATCCAAACACATTTTCCCACAGTTGTGGTGCAACTCTTTTGTGCTGTAATAAGATACAGTCAGGTCCATAAATATTGGGACATGGACACAATTATAACATTTTTGGCTCTATCCACCACCACTATGGATATCTAATGAAACAAACACGATGTGCTTTAACTGCAGACTGTCAGCTTTTATTTGAGGTATTTACATCCAAACCAGGTGAACGGTGTAGGAATTACAACAGTTTACGTATGTGCCTCCCACTTGTTAAGGGACCAAAAGTAATGGGACAGTTGGCTTCTCAGCTGTTCCATGGCCAGGTGTGTGTTATTCCCTCATTATCCCAATTACAATGAGCCGATAAAAGGTCCAGAGTTCATTTCAAGTGATTTGGAATCTGTTGCTGTCAGCTGTCAAGATGAGATCCAAAGAGCTGTCACTATCAGTGATGCAAGCCATCATTAGGCTGAAAAAACAAAAGAAACCTATCAGAGAGATAGCAAAAACATTAGGCATGGCCAAAACAACAGTTTGGAACATTCTCAAAAAGAAGGAATGCAGCGGTGAGCTCAGCAACACCAAAAGACCCGGAAGACCACGGAAATCAACTGTGGTGGATGACCGAAGAGTCCTTTCCCTGGTGAAGAAGACGCCCTTCACAACAGTTGGCCAGATCTAGAACACTCTCCAGGAGGTAGGTGCATCTGTGTCAAAGTCAACAATCAAGAGAAGACTCCACCAGTGGGAATACAGAGGCTTCACCACAAGATGTAAACCGTTGGTGAGCCCCAAAAACAGGAAGGCCAGATTAGAGTTTGCCAAACAACATCTTAAAAAGCCTTCACAGTTCTGGAACAACATCCTACGGACAGATGAGACCAAGATCAACTTGTACCAGAGTGATGGGAGGAGAAGAGTCTGGAGACGGATCCTAAGCATACCACCTCATCAGTGAAGCATGGTGCTGGAAGTGTCATGGCGCGGGCATGCATGGCTGCCAGTGGAACTGGTTCTCTTGTATTTATTGATGACGTGACTGCTGACAAAAGCAGCACGATGAGTTCTGAAGTGTTTCGGGCGACATTATCTGCTCATATTCAGCCAAATGCCTCAGAACTCATTGGACGGCGCTCCACAGTGCAGATGGACAATGACCCAAAGCATACTGCAAAAGCAACCAAAGAGTTTTTGAAGGGAATGAAGTGGACTGTTTTGCAGTGGCCAAGTCAATCACCGGACCTGAATCCGACTGAGCATGCATTTCACTTGCTGAAGACAAAACTGAAGGGAAAACGCCCCAGGAACAAGCAGGAACTGAAGACTGTTGCAGTAGAGGCCTGGCAGAGCATCACCACGGATGAAAGCCAACGTCTGGCGATGTCATGTGTTCCAGACTTCAGGCTGTAATTGACTGCAAAGGATTTGCAACCAAGTATTGAAATGTATAAGTTTGATTTATGGTTCTTATTCTGTCCCATTACTTTTGGTCCCTTAACAAGTGGGAGGCACATACGTAAACTGTTGTAATTCCTACACCGTTCACCTGATTTGGATGTAAATACCCTAAAATCAAAGCTGACAGTCTGCAGTTAAAGCACATCTTGTTCGTTTCATTTGATATCCATAGTGGTGGTGTATAGAGCCAAAAATAGTAGCCTTGTGTCCATGTCCCAATATTTATGGACCTGACTGTATAAACAGGAGCAGTGGCGGATTTAGTAATTTGGGGGCCCAAGGTGAACACAGACATGGGGCCCCTTACACTAAATTTTCGACAATCTTATCTTTAATTGGATTTGCGAAACTCTCCCCTCTTCTGACACGAGTTATTTTCACGTTTTATTAGTCCTCCTCTTTTTTCCTGTCTTTCTCTCTCTTTGAGTGCTTTCCTCTTCCTGTCAGTGCTCCTGTGCTTTTGACTTTCTTTTTTTTCTCTTCTATTTTCCATTTTGGTCTGTGTTTTCCTCCCTTTAAACATTTTCCGTTGTCTTTCCTTTTCTGCTTCCTTTTGATGTTCACACAGAAAAACAACATCACTTTTGGAAGTGAAGATAAAAGCTTTTTTAAAGCAAGCTGCTTCTGTCTCTTATTGGAGCCACTAGGATAACTCCATTTCATGCTTGATGTTTTTACTACCGCTTCGAGTTTGTCATGAACGCTCCTGCCTCTCTTCTTCTTTTTCTGCTTTATCTTCTTCTTATTTGTGGTCTTATGGCACTTGGCAAACAACAATTTGGTGCATTACCGCCACCAACTGGATTG